CACACACACACACACACACACACACACACACACACACACACACACACACACACACACACACACCTCCTCTTGTGGTCTCAGATCAGATTCCTTTCCTCCTGTCTGAACTTGTCACTCATCTGTGTCTCAGCGACATGTTGAGCAGCTCAGTGTGAAACAGTCTGATGTCACAGCCTCTGATTGGCTGATGGTCCTTAGACCTTTAACAGTCTCTGATTGGCTGATGATCTCTTCTAGCCATTTTTAATCTCTCAATTTATGCACATGTTTATTGTCTCTGTGTTTTCTGTTTCTTCTCTAAACACAAACATAGACAAGACACACACACACCAGTATTCTGTCTGGTACAGTCATAGTTTTATGTTTTTATGTCTCTGGGGAAAGTTCCCTGAGCTCCTCTCTCCAGTTTCCACTCCCATTACTGGGACCAGACCAGTATGAGGCGGAGAGTCTGACCTCAGACAGAAATGACTGACTGCTCATGAGGGCGAGAGCTCAACCAGCTGAATGTGAGGAGGACATGGTTTTTATGAAGGGGTTTTTGAGAAAACAGTGTCACAGATCAATGGATGAATTAATGAATTGATTGTCAGCCGTCATTAGTCTCCGGTGGTCCCAGCAGCAGCAGCTAACTGGTTTAACTGGGAGGAGTCGACCGTCATGTTGTTTTATGACTCAGCTGGAGCACAAAGGCCACACTGTGCCAGTGATGGACAGGCCGGTTTCTATGGTGATGAGGTGATTCAAAACACCTTCAAGGTCTGGACCACCTTAGGACTTTATCACTGTGACCAGGCTGAGAGTCCACAGCATCAGCACCAGTATGGATCTTCTCCATCTGTGATTGGTTGGTATTGATAAAAACAGCTGATCCTGTTTGGTGGACCTGCTGCAGTAACAAAAAGAGATCCTCTGTCTCTGACATCATTACACCTCCTGCTCTTTCTCTGTCTCACACACAACACGAACTCTGTCAGACATCACTGAGACCAGTCAGCTGTGGAGCTCACAGTCCAGATCTAATTAAAGTTGTAACAAGCCGCAGCTAACGATGATTTTAATCCTGTAGTCAAAAAGTCACAGATTCAGATCCATCCTCATCATCCTCCTCAGGCCTGTTAAAGACAGCAGCGCTCCTCTGGACTTAATGAGTTTACATATGAAACCAGTCAGTATATTTTCACTATCAACAACTATAGCTGCAGCTGAGCAATATACTCACGATCGATTACTTTATTGATTGATTTTTGTTAATATAAAATAATAATACAGAAACATTCATTTCTTCATGTGTTAATTTCACTGAAGGAGAAGTTAAACTCTGAGGGTCGTGGGTTCGATTCCCTGTGTGCCCACTAAACCACTTTAACAATCATCCTCTAAATGTCATTAAACTGTGGAAGAACATTGGAGACAAATCTGAGGATGAGATAAAGGGTGATGATGAAGATGAAACAGAGGCAGGAGATGAGGGAGGAAGAGGCCTGCAGCGCCGCTCACTGTGGCTCAGGGCATTCTGGGTATTCTTATGCTAATCCATCGCTGGGGATGAGGCGCAGAGCAGCCAAGAGCACAATGGCAGTGGAGCCAGAAAGTCTGGACTGCAGTCTCCCAGAGGCCTGCCTGGAGGAGGGGCCCCTGGAGGGGACGGGGAATGGGGCCAAGGTGGAGGGAGAGAGGGGACGAGGAGGAGGAGGACTGGAGAAGGGAGTGAGAGAAAGAGCAGGAAACAGGAGGGAAGGAAAGAAGTGAAAGGGGGAGGGAAAGAAAACATAAAGGTAAATAAAGAGGAAGATGATGGAGAGGAAGAACATTTTCAGTCTCTTCATTCAAGTGAAGTAACAGACTCCTGAAGTCTGGTCTATTGAATCCTTCACTTAAACAGGGTCTCAGACCAGGACCTGTGGGGGGCAGGCCATGGCTCAGTGGTTCCCTATAAGAGTTGTTTCTTCTGTACAGGTGGGACCGCTAACAAAACCTCCTTTCATTCTGAACACTCCTCCCCCAAGATCATGATGTCACATCCAGCTAGCTGGAGCACCTACGCTACATTAACCACTGCGGACACCTCAGGAGGGTCTGAACACCTCAGGAGGGTCTGAACACCTGAGGAGGGTCTGACACCTGATCATTAGATCAAGGAGAAGGAAACTGAATGTTAGTGCCTGCTGAGGATGAACAAGTGTGTTTGACTGAGAGGAAGAAGAACCAGACGAGTCTGAGCATGACTTACTGTGGGGGGGGGGGGGCAGAAGGGGGGGGGGGGGGGGGTTTGAGCGGGCAGAGTGCCCTGCTGACCACTGATAAAAATGGGTACCTGTGGGTGGTGGCAGAAAAGCTGTTGTTTACCTCTGGAAACGATCTCTCCAACAGACAAGATAAAATACATGAGAGGCAATGGGAATTTAGAGAAGAGGCTATGAAGAAAAAAGAGAAAAAAATGGAGAGAAAGGAGAGGTATTAAATGTTAATTAATGAATATGTATGTTGACTGAAATCTTNGGGGGGTGGTGTGTGTGTGGGGGGGGGTTCGCTGACACTCGGAGGGTTTAGCTGTGTTTGTTGTTTTATTTCTCTCTTGCTCTCTCTGGTTGTTGACTGGTTCTCAGATCCTGTGTGTGTGTGTGTGTGTGTGTGTGTGTGTGTGTGTGTCTTGTGTTTTCAAAGGGAAGTGGATGTGTTGGGTGATTTAGGAAGGGTGTGTGTGGAGGAGGAGGGGGAGGCATGTTTCCTCTGGTGGGGGCCTGCCTCGTCTTGCCCCCCACCCCCCTGAATGTGTCTTTGTGTCGTATCTCTGAGCTGCTGCTGCTGCTGCTGCTGTTGTTGGTCTCTAAATGGAGCGAAGAGCCAAATGTTTTGTTGTGAAGAGAGGTGAAGATTCTTCCACTGTCTGTTCACACACACACACACACACACACACACACACANACATGCCGTTATTAGCACTGTGCAGGACCAGAGCCTGTAGAACATCCCTGGACAAATAATTTGGTAGTTAGTCGCCGCCAGGCCGGCAGGGGTCATCGGGTCAATGTGAGCTGGGGGGGGGGCATGTGTCCCTGAACGCGACGTGTGTCCTCTGCAGGCACCTCTCAGGCAGCAGCTGTGATGGCTTCTGTTCTTCACTGTGAATCACACCTGATCATCTTAATCTTAATCCTGCTTGTGTTTTCCCTCCTCAGGGTTTTGGACCCTCAGAGCTAGTGACACAGAAGAGGACCAGATATTGTGATATCACCTCCAAAACCACAACTCCATCTCCCTCCGGTCCTCCAGCTGACCCTCCTTCTCTCTGAGATCAGGACCGGCTCCCTGACTCCTGCTGTGGACTACAGTTNACACACACACACACACACACACACACACACATCTGATCCACAGCAGACGTTTAACAACAGTTCATGGTCTGACTCCTCTGTGTTAGCTTCATACAGGTGTATGATCACAGGTGGACTCCTCAGGTTTACACAGCTCATTAGAAAGACACACACACACACACACACACACACTATCTGGCCTGTGTGTGTGTGTCTTTGTTCTCTGCCTCTTCAGAGATGTGTGAAAAGTGGGTCACAGGTCCGACCTCTTTGTCCCCCTTGGGCAAATGAAAAGTGACAGATGCCGGCCGCACCCCCCNTGCAGGCACCTCTCAGGCAGCAGCTGTGATGGCTTCTGTTCTTCACTGTGAATCACACCTGATCATCTTAATCTTAATCCTGCTTGTGTTTTCCCTCCTCAGGGTTTTGGACCCTCAGAGCTAGTGACACAGAAGAGGACCAGATATTGTGATATCACCTCCAAAACCACAACTCCATCTCCCTCCGGTCCTCCAGCTGACCCTCCTTCTCTCTGAGATCAGGACCGGCTCCCTGACTCCTGCTGTGGACTACAGTTTCATCAGGACCGGGTCATCCCCTCTCAGCCCAGACCACAGACCAGCTGATCAAAGCACGGAGTGGTCCGGTCCAGGTCCGGTCTCAGTCCACTCCGGTCCCAGGATGGCAGGTGCACCGTTCTGTTTGATGGCTATGATGACCGCGGCGCTCCTGCTGAGCCTCAGAGCTGAAGGTAAGACTGTGTGTGTGTGTGTGTGTGTGTGTGTGTGAGAGTGTGTGTTGGTCACCACATGTTTAACTGGTGTTTGTTGAAAACCAGAGTGATGAATTTTAAATTTTAAAAATATCATTTGACTCACAGTTGGTGACTGATGATGATGATGATGATGATGAGCTCTCACTGTCATGGATTCACCTCCCGTTTGTTTCATGTTTTACTTTCTGTCTGAAACATGACAGTGACATCGATCTGTAAAATTCATCATCTTCATCATCAGTCTCAGAGGACGTCACTCGGTCGTTTCCCTCCATCTCTCTTCATACACTCACAGTTACTCATTAACCTTCAGTCTGTGTTCAGTGCGATAAGCAGCAGCACTCAGTCACATTAACATTAAAAGTCACCGTGTGCACACACCTTTTGTTAAAGCTGCAATTAAGAGTCTGATAATAGAAAGGAGACAGACCTGAGGTCAGCTCTCCTTCAGTCAGTCAGGACTGATGTTCACTAACTATTTTTATTTTACAGCTGTAGTACCTCGTGACGTTAAAAACCTTATAACAATATATATAACCTATATTCTAAACAATATTAAATACGGCTCAGTGTTATACAGTAAGTTACAACACATACAGAAATAATAATCCAATAACTTGATCATGTAACACAGTCACTTTTATACTTCCACACTTCAGTGTGTCATATTGTGACAGTAAATACAAACTGAACATCAAACACATGAAGGCCTGATCCTCATCTTAACATTGAGGACTGAGGGACTGAGGACCTGAGGACTGAGGGTCTGAGGGTCTGAGGGTCTGAGGACTGAGGGTCTGAGGACTGAGGGACTGAGGGTCTGAGGGACTGAGGGTCTGAGGGTCTGAGGACTGAGGGACTGAGGGTCTGAGGACTGAGGACTGAGGGTCTGAGGACTGAGGGTCTGAGGACTGAGGGACTGAGGGTCTGAGGGACTGAGGGTCTGAGGACTGAGGGTCTGAGGGACTGAGGACTGAGGGTCTGAGGGTCTGAGGGACTGAGGACTGAGGTACTGAGGACTGAGGGACTGAGGACTGAGGGTCTGAGGACTGAGGGACTGAGGGTCTGAGGGACTGAGGGTCTGAGGACTGAGGGTCTGAGGGTCTGAGGGTCTGAGGACTGAGGGTCTGAGGGTCTGAGGGTCTGAGAATAAAATGCTTCAGATTGAGGAGAGAAATCCTGGTGAAGACCAGGATCTGAGTCCCTGAGCTTTTACCCACATTCATGTAAGGCACCATTAAGTAGCAGCTGTGTCAGCCCTCAGAGACGCTCCTCGCCGCCCCTCCCTGCAGGAAGCTGTTCAGCTGATTGTTGGCGCTCTCACTTCCTCTCTGCACATTAACCGTTTCCTGTATGACACTGTATGAGCTGTCAGCGGCGCTCCGCGCTCCAAACAGCCATTGTTCTCCGGAAACATCCGTCAGTCCCTGTGGAGACGCAGAGTCCATTCAGGACCAGAGAGACCTGGGCCAGGGCTGGCACCGACAATCTAACATCAATCGCTCAGTTTATTGATTCATCAGTGAAGTTCAAACATGGTTTCCAAAATCTTGTTCAATGATTCATTGATCATTACAATTATTGTCTTTGATTTTATACTGATCCATCATGAGTAAATACACAAATTTACATTAGGAAGACTAAAGATGAATTTTACTTAAAATAACTAAAAGAAAAGACGTTTCAGCTTCTGAACTTTTCTCTCGAATGAAAATAAACAGATTAAAAATAATAATGAGAAAAATCGTTTGTAGCTTCACTTTAAAACAGAGGAATAAAAATCTAACACTGAATAATAAAGTTTTTCTGCTGATGGTTCTATAATGAACATTTGTAACGAGGAGGAAACAGAACGTCAAATGTTTGTTAGTTTCAGTGGATCATCATCATCAGTGACTCATCAGTCGTAAAGTTTCTCTGCGTGAGAGCAGCTGACGTTCAGACCACGCTGACTGAGACACAGCAGGACATAAAACAAGCGCTCCTCACCATCTTCATGTTCTTCATTTAATGATCCTGTGTAGAAGCTTCACACTGTTAATATCATCTGTATGTTTCTATATAGTTCCTCTGTTTTAACCAATTTGATGCAGCTAATTATTTTCATTAGCGATTCATCTGCTGATGGTTTTTATGGTAGTTGATTAATTGATTAGGTTGATTGACAGAAAATGTATCTGTTAATTTTTTACTTTATTCATTTCTAATCAAATGTTTGATGTGTTCCTCTGTTGTTCTGATAGATGATCACAGATTACTGATGGATTATTAATGGATTAACAGCCTGCATGTTTCAGACAGTGACTCATCACAGTGGTACATTTGTATAGAGCAGCTGACTGAAAACAGTCTGTTTGATCACAGCTGCTGCTGTGATGATGATGATGATGCATGTAAATAGACAGTCTGAGGATGTGCTGCCACTTTAAGAGGTCATGAAGAGTATGATTACCCAGCATGCTCTCTGCCAGACCTCAGTCTCCGGCTGATGAAGCACACATGTGGATGGACACACACAGAAACTGCAGCCGTCTCCAGCCTCAGCACACCCCTGTTCCTGTACGTGTCCGTCCTCCTTGCTCTGTCACTCAGAACTTCAGAGCCAATCAGAGCTGTCCTGGCCAGAGGGAGGCGGGGTCTAGACAGTGATGATGTCATTGTTGAGTTTTCAAATGTAAAGACATTTCTCACTGACTGATTTATTCAAATGATCATACGCCAAACGTTCTTTAGAACAATCCATCTCAGTCAACATTATATATATATATGAATATTATTTATATTATATGTATGTATGTATATATATATATATATATATATATATATATATATATAATCTGTCTGTAGTGAAGGTGACACAGAGCAGAAGGATGAAAATCCTATGTTGGAAACTGACGGACATTTTTCACATTTTATAGACAAAGTGATCAATTAGAAAATAACCAGCAGATTAATCAATATTGAAAATAATGTGTAATTGATCATTGGAATTAATATTAGTTTCTGTGATTTTCATTTTAAATTATGAAGTGAAAGTTTGGATAAAAATATTTAAAGAAATGATGATGTACTCATGTCGCTGCTCAGTTTAAACCCATGGTCCCTATATGGAGCTTCATCACCCCCCACCCCACCCCCAGTGAAACCAGCTGTAAACCAGGATGTGACTTTGTTTGTCTCCATCCAGCTGCAGGTCAGAACCCAGACCACGTCCTGCAGGGGACGGGGGTGAAACCAGAAGCTCGACGGCCCGGCGAGGACTCCACCATCGCACCAGAGGACGCCGCTCGATTCCTCAGCTGCTACTGTTCCGGTCACTGTCCTGACGACGCCACGAACAACACCTGCCAGTGAGTAGAGACAGCCTGTCAGTCAAACATCATCACAGAACATTGATCATGTGACTCAGACACACATTGATTCACTGTGTTTGTTTGTTCAGGACCAACGGTCAGTGTTTCGCCATCATCGAGGAGGACGAACATGGAGAGGCCATCCTCACCTCGGGCTGCATGAAGTATGAAGGCTCACACTTCCAGTGCAAGGTACACACACCCACACACACACACACACCCACACACACACACACACACACACACACCCACACACCTCCACATGATAAAAATCAGGTTCTGACAGAAAATGACTCGTTATCTCTGTCATCATTGAGACATTTGCTCAATATGATATAATATTATATTATATTAAATTACTAAAAACAGGAAATGACTTTGGTACCTGTCAGATGATGTCAGACAGAAGAGGTGGGAGGAGCATGCATAGCTTGCAGTTTGAATGATTGGATGATTGGTTTGATTGACAGGACTCTCCCAAAGCTCAGACCAGGAGGACAATCGAGTGCTGCAACACAGATTTCTGCAACAGGGACCTGCAGCCCACCCTCCCCCCGCAGGCTCCCTCAGGTAACGTTTTACTGATCAGCTGATTCAGGTGTTTGTCAGGTGAACATCGACCTGCCTTAACCACAGTCTGTTTTTCTTCCTGGATGTTTCCAGAAGGCAGCCCCCACTGGCTGGCCTTCGTCATCTCCATGACGATCTGCTGCTGCACTCTGATCTGCGTCACCGTGGTCTGTTACTACAGGTAGGATGTCACCTGTTCAGTAGACTCAGACTCAGGTGATTTGAAGGTCACATCACTTTAAGACTTCACAGATGGATCAGTGTCAGACCTTCAGTAGGTTTACAGTTGTTTCTTTTTTATGTTGGTTTCATCCAACAAATTATTCACAACTCTGAATAATAATGATAATAATAATAATAATAATAATCATTATCTCTCGTGTGAAGACATGTTCATAGATCTGCTTTAAATCATAGAGAAAAGACTTTTCATTCAGAATCCTCCTGTTTTTAAGTTTCCTCCAGTGTCACAGTACGACGACATCAACAACACTCTTAACAGAATCCTTTACAGTCAAACAACAACACCTGGATAAATCCAGTAAACCTGAACCACAGACTGATCCGTTAAAGATCACGTCTCAGGTTGAAGCAACTGTAGATTAAACTGTTGCTGTTATGTTATTGTGTAGTAATATAATTGTGTGTCTGTGTGTTAGATATAAGTGGCAGACTGAGCGTCAGCGGTATCACAAAGATCTGGAGCAGGAAGTCTTCATCCCTGCTGGAGAATCCCTCAAAGACCTCATCCACCAGTCACAGAGCTCTGGCAGCGGCTCGGGGCTCCCCCTGCTGGTAAGGGCACAGTACTGCACCAGGAACACACACACACACACACACACACACACACACACACACACACACACACACACACACACACATTACAGATAACTTGAATACATGTTATGATTTCCTTCCTCAGACCTGTTCAGACCTGTTCAGACCTGTTCAGACCTGTTCAGACCAGTTCAGTCCTGTTCAGTCCTGTTCGTTCAGACCTGTTCAGACCTGTTCAGACCTGTTCAGTCCTGTTCAGTCCTGTTCAGTCCTGTTCAGACCTGTTCAGACCTGTTCAGACCTGTTCAGTCCTGTTCGTTCAGACCCGTTCAGACCTGTTCAGACCTGTTCAGACCTGTTCAGACCTGTTCAGACCTGTTCAGACCTGTTCAGTCCTGTTCGTTCAGACCTGTTCAGACCTGTTCAGACCTGTTCAGACCTGTTCAGACCTGTTCAGACCTGTTCAGACCTGTTCAGACCTGTTCAGACCTGTTCAGACCTGTTCAGACCTGTTCAGACCTGTTCAGACCTGTTCAGACCTGTTCAGACCTGTTCAGACCTGTTCAGACCTGTTCAGTCCTGTTCGTTCAGACCGGTTCAGACCGGTTCAGACCTGTTCAGACCTGTTCAGACCTGTTCAGACCGGTTCAGTCCTGTTCGTTCAGACCGGTTCAGACCTGTTCAGACTGACCTGTTCAGACCTGTTCAGACCTGTTCAGACCGGTTCAGTCCTGTTCAGTCCTGTTCAGTCCTGTTCAGACCTGTTCGTTCAGACCGGTTCAGACCGGTTCAGACCTGTTCAGACCTGTTCAGACCTGTTCAGACCGGTTCAGTCCTGTTCGTTCAGACCGGTTCAGACCTGTTCAGACTGACCTGTTCAGACCTGTTCAGACCTGTTCAGACCGGTTCAGACCTGTTCAGTCCTGTTTATTCAGACCTGTTTATTCAGACCTGTTTATTCAGACCTGTTCAGACCTGTTCAGACCTGTTTATTCAGACCGGTTCAGACCTGGTATTAACATGTGTCTTCAGTGAACAGATCACAGTCATCAGCTCTGAGTTCATCAGTTCACAGCTTTAAAATGCATCTCAGTGACCATTAGTGATCGGGTCTCACCTCTGGACGGTCTGTTGTCAATATGCTTGTGTGTGTGAGTGAGAGAGAGAGCGAGGGTTGAGCGAATCAATGCGCTGTGTACAGCTCTACGGTGAAATAAAGTTGGATCCATTTGAAACAGTAAAATATTTTCAGTTTATTATAAAGTGTTGGGGAAGAATCCGACTGTGACACAGGACGACAGTAGAGTGGGGAGAGGGTTACAACACCTCAGAATGTGGTCTGACTGATCGGATCTCAGATGTGTCCTCACTGTGTCTTGGGTGCCTTCACACCTGACTGATTGATGATCAGATCACCTGAGCTTAACACCAGGTCTGACCAGGGCCAGTTTGACTCACCTTCCTTCTCCTTGTCCCTCTCCTCCTCCAGGTGCAGAGAACTATCGCCAAGCAGATCCAGATGGTGCGCCAGATCGGTAAAGGTCGGTACGGTGAGGTGTGGCTGGGCCGCTGGAGGGGGGAGAAGGTGGCTGTCAAAGTGTTCTTCACCAGAGAGGAGGCGAGCTGGTTCAGAGAGACGGAGATCTATCAGACGGTCCTGATGAGACACGAGAACATCCTCGGTACGTCAGCTGATCACAGAACATTCATGTCCCTACATCTGTCTCAACATCTTTCTCTGGAATCATCATTGATTGAATAAAAACACAGATCTATGATAAAAACAGAACCAGTGTTGATGAAGAGGTCAGAGGTTCTCCAGGTTTAAGTCAACCTGGAGACAGGTAAGCTGTGAGTTTCTCTGATGTTAATGAAGGTGTGACCTGTCAATCATTCCCCCCTCCCTCAGGCTTCATCGCGGCCGACATTAAAGGGACAGGCGCCTTCACGCAGCTCTTCCTCATCACCGACCACCACGAGAACGGATCTCTGTATGACTACCTGAAGCTGACCACGCTGGACACGCAGGCTCTGCTGCGCCTCGCCTACTCGGCGGCCTGCGGCCTCTGTCACCTGCACACGGAGATCTACGGCACGCAGGGCAAACCGGCCATCGCCCACCGAGACCTGAAGAGCAAGAACATCCTGATCAAGAAGAACGGAACCTGCTGCATTGCTGACCTGGGCCTTGCCGTCAAGTTCAACAGGTCAGCTGATCATTAGTGATGTCATCACTGGAGCATTTGTTCTCTGACACGTGATCAATGATTTTACTTTTATATAACTGCAACAATTAGTCTATTAATAAATCATTCGTGGAAAATGTACTGAAAAATTATTTCAACTTACTTATTGCTCAGTATATAAAGATATAATAACTGATTATTGATCAATATATAAAGATATAATAACTGATTATTGATCAATATATAAAGATATAATAACTGGTCTCTAACAGCTGTGATCAGATCAGTGTTAATGTTAACGACTGACTCATCAGTGGAGGCTGCAGTAGAGACAGATCATAAACAACAATATAGTGAAACATCTGTAATTAAATAACATCTGTCTTCACAGGAGACGTTAATATGAATTAAATGTTTCTGTTAATAATCAAAGACAATGTAGCAGTTTGTATAAATTCACTGACTGACAACGCTCCTGTTTGTGTTGCCATAGCGACACTAACGAGGTGGACGTCCCTCTGAGCACCCGGGTGGGGACGAGGCGCTACATGGCCCCCGAGGTCCTGGATGAGAGCCTCAACAAGAACCACTTCCAGGCCTACATCATGGCCGACATGTACAGCTACGGCCTCGTCATCTGGGAGATGGCCCGACGCTGTGTCACTGGAGGTAACACACACACACACACACACACACACACACACACATCGGCTCCACCTGCTGGTGAGAAAGTGTCACCTCACACAGTTCAGCTTGTTGTTTGTGTTACTGAGATGATTCGGATCCTAAATGTTGGTGTTTACGTCTGACTGTTTGGTGCTGATTATAAATCAATAATCAGTTGTGATCAGAACTGGTGGACTCTGACGGTCCTGTCCTCTGTGTCCAGGGATCGTGGAGGACTATCAGCTGCCGTACTACGACATGGTTCCCTCTGACCCGTCCTACGAGGACATGCTGGAGGTAGTGTGTGTGAAAGGACTTCGACCCACAGTGTCCAACCGCTGGAACAGTGACGAGGTGAGACCCACCTGTGATGATGTCATGATGTTATCAATATGTTAATGCACAACAAACAGTCAGGAACTTTGCATTGACAGCAGTTGTTTACAGGGGCTCCACAGCAGTCTTCAATCATGTCCTCAGTTCGGGACCTGGTCTTGTTTCTGGTCTTAACTGATGATTAAATATTTTATCAGGTGACGTCATCACACCTGAACTAACATGTTGTTAACATGCATGTTAGCATTGTGAGCTGTTAGCATTAGCTCATGGCTAATGAGCACATTAATAACCACTGCTGTAAATGCACCAGACGAGGCTACAAACAACCCATAATGCAACACTCTGTTACAGTGTTAGATTAGAAACCAGCTGAGAGGAGACGGGACTTCCTGTCCTAAATCCTTCTCTCTAACTGTATGTTGTTTCCGCAGTGCCTCCGGGCCATGCTGAAGCTGATGTCAGAGTGCTGGGCTCATAACCCCGCCTCCCGCCTCACCATCCTCAGAGTGAAGAAAACGCTCGCCAAGATGGTAGAGTCCCAGGACATCAAGATCTGACCTCCCTCATCATCATCCTCTTCCTCCTCGTCCCACCTCAATCGCCAGATTCACCTGAACTCACCCTGACCTGGACCGGATCAGACCGGACCGGTTTCCCCAGGCTCACCTTCATCAGGAGGAGGAAAAGGAGGAGGAGTTGGGAGATAAAAAAGGACCCGTCTCAGGGCTGAACTGTGCACCTCCCCCTCTTCCTCCTCCTCCTCCCTCCCCCCCCGCCCTCCTCCTCCTCTCTCTGACGCTTTCTGTGAAAGCCAAACAAGACGATAAGAATCACTTGGATGACGACTGCAGGTGGAGGGAGGGGGAGGGGGAGGGGGAGGGAGGGCTCTTGATGCTTGTTGATGAATGAACTTTTCTTTTTAAGCCGCCACCTCCCCCAGCCTTCCTCCCCCTCCTCCTCCCCCTCCTCCTCCTCTGCCTGTTTGAAAAGTAAAATGCCAACAGTTGTTGTTGTGTCTTCAGGACTGAGTTCTCCTGCCATATTGAATATATCTCCACTCTGACAGTAGAGTTAATTATAAAGTAAGGTACTATAATAACGTGAACTGTAATGTGTAAATAGATGTTATCATTAGCTGCCCTGCCTCATCACAAGATTTAAACCAGAACACTATGCTGCAGTGATGTCATCGTCCAGCCGACTCCTCAGAGACCGACAAGATGGAGTTACTGCGGAGACGTCTACCGTCCTGTCTGTCTGTCTGTGTGACTGTCTGTCTGTCTGTGTGACTGTCTGACTGTCTGTGTGACTGTCTGTCTGTCTGACTGGCTGTGTGACTGTCTGTCTGTCTGTCTGACTGTCTGTGTGACTGTCTGTCTGTCTGACTGGCTGTGTGACTGTCTGTCTGTCTGTCTGACTGTCTGTGTGACTGTCTGTCTGTCTGACTGGCTGTGTGACTGTCTGTCTGTCTGTCTGACTGTCTGTGTGACTGTCTGTCTGTCTGACTGGCTGTGTGACTGTCTGTCTGTCTGTCTGACTGTCTGTGTGACTGTCTGTCTGTCTGACTGGCTGTGTGACTGTCTGTCTGTCTGTCTGACTGTCTGTGTGACTGTCTGTCTGTCTGACTGGCTGTGTGACTGTCTGTCTGTCTGTCTGACTGTCTGTGTGACTGTCTGTCTGTCTGACTGGCTGTGTGACTGTCTGTCTGTCTGTCTGACTGTCTGTGTGACTGTCTGTCTGTCTGACTGGCTGTGTGACTGTCTGTCTGTCTGTCTGACTGTCTGTGTGACTGTCTGTCTGTCTGACTGGCTGTGTGACTGTCTGTCTGTCTGTCTGACTGTCTGTGTGACTGTCTGTCTGTCTGACTGGCTGTGTGACTGTCTGTCTGTCTGTCTGACTGTCTGTGTGACTGTCTGTCTGTCTGACTGGCTGTGTGACTGTCTGTCTGTCTGTCTGACTGTCTGTGTGACTGTCTGTCTGTCTGACTGGCTGTGTGACTGTCTGTCTGTCTGTCTGACTGTCTGTGTGACTGTCTGTCTGTCTGACTGGCTGTGTGACTGTCTGTCTGTCTGTCTGACTGTCTGTGTGACTGTCTGTCTGTCTGACTGGCTGTGTGACTGTCTGTCTGTCTGTCTGACTGTCTGTGTGACTGTCTATCTGTCTGTCTGTCTAGAGACAGAAAAGTCTCAGTGGTTGAGTTAACCCTTGATGGGCGGAGCCAAACCTGTTGACCTGTAGTAACCTGTGACCACACCTGATGTGATCAGTTCAGTTTTATTTTCTATTGAGTTTATTTGAGTTAATGTTTCTTGAACATCAGTGATAGAGGATGTTACCAAAGTAAATGCACCAGTACAGCAAAATAAAGTCTTTCTTTAATAAAAGTAAAAAAGTTTGTGGAACTGAACAACAACAAAGGTCACGAAATCTTTAACGAAATCTTAAAGATTTAAATAATTAATTAATGTAAAATATGAATCTAGAAAAGTAACCATAACTGTTGAGTAAATGTATTTCTCACCACTGCAAAACTAAAATTTAAGAACATTAAACAGAGTGATTAATATGACGGTTGACTGGCTCGTCCCACTGAGGTTTAACTCGTCCAGTCAGATGTAATCTAACTTCCAGACTGTTCCTTTAAGTTTTGTGTGTTGGTTTCCCTCCTCAGTAGCAGGATGATTGTGTGTGTTGCTGTGTGTGTTTGTGTGTGTGTGTGTGTGTGTGTGTGTGTGTGTGTGTGAGAGAAGCTAACCGTTCATACAGTAGTTATTTAAGAGCAGTAACTTTAGTGTTTTTCTCTGTAATAAATATGCAAGAACCCCCAGTATAGAATAATCTCTAATATGTAAATCGTTAATGTTTTTGTTGTTGTTGTTGTTGTTGTTGTTGTTTTGTACAGCATCTGGTTCGGTGCCTTATGAGTTTACCAAGGAAAATGAAACTCTGTATACAGTCTGTCCAATGTAACGATTTTTAAGTAAATAACCTTATTTTAGTAAACAAGCTCACAGTGTCCACTCCTCCTTTCACCTGTTTCTTTACTTTTATTTGTCTGTTTTTATAACCACTTTCATTTTTGTATTGAAGTCTATTTCTGCTTAAAAGCATGAATGAAAAGTTAGTAATGATGGACAAAAAATACATGGTGACAAAATTAACTACGGCAAGTTTGAACTTGTGTTGGAATCTTTAATTTTAAAAGCAGATGTTACAATTTAAGTCAAAATTTTCAACATATATATGTTTGTGTGTGTATATATTCAGTATGTAATGTTATGTAATTATAAAACTACAATTTTGATTCAATGTTTTTTTTAACTTGTAGTTTAATGGAAATTTAAGATGGGGAGTTAAAAGTCAGTAAAAACATTATTTTAAAACACGCAAACTCAGTAAATAAAAGAATTATTAAAAGTTGATTAAAAACAGACACTACAGGAATATTTACAAATATTAAAATATTTGACTAATACATAATGAAATCTGTAGAATTGTTAAACCAAAATTGTCCATTCAAAATTTTTATTTCTTTTGTAAATGTAAAGAATACAATTATATTGTACACAATCTAGTATAATTATAATTTTGATTCACCAAATTTTAATGTCAGATCAGACCAGAGCACAGGTGGACTGGACATGAGGACTACCGTCTCAAGTCGTGGTCGGCCGGTGGACCGTCATAATATCCATAAAGCTTTTAAAGTGTTTACCGGCTCCCTGAGTCAGAGTCATGAGGCTGGTCCCAGTGGATTGGTCCAAGGCTCCATGTCTTTTCCCCTGATGTGCATCTCCAGCTCACAGCCAGGAAGACATGCTACTTGAAAAATCAGGGAAAAATCCAAAATACTTGGTGTACTAACTGTAAAATCTTCTTTAAGCTGAAGGGAACACCCGAGGAGGACAAAGTATTAGTCGTCAGACATGGAGGAGCTGGAAAAATACCATGATCAACAGGAACTGCACCATAAGGTAACAAGTAACTGGTTTACACACAGCCATGACACACACTGAAAAAAATGTTTTTCTGCATTTGGATCCATTAACCACATGACACACACACACACAGAGAATTAGTGAACATGATCATCTGGAAATGAACACTTTTGTACACTGATCATAATACATGGGATTTGGAATATGACATTGACCCAGATAACAATTTCTTCTCTTCCATCAACAATAACTGACTATTACACTGATGAACAGTTCAACAGAAGTAAGACGGATGGCAAACTATCCATCATCCACTTCAATGCAAATTTCATTCATATCAAGCAGTATCTACATCAGTTCACAAAACCATTCAGCATCATTGAAATATCTGAAACATGGATTACTGCAGATAAAGGCATCGACTTTGAGCTTGAGGGTTATGAATTTAAGTCTATAAACAGACAAATTACAGGGGAGGAGGAGTTGCTATGTATGTAGACAAAACTTTGAAATTCAAGGTGTTGGACAATACGACTGCAGCAGTTGATGATATTTTGGAATCTATAACAGTTGAAGTTTATAAGAATAAAAATGTAATCAGTAGTTGTATATACAGAGCACCAGGCTCTAGTATCGATGTGTTTAAAAACTGGCTGAAGGAAACCTTTGCTGAAATGAGTCACAAAACAATTTTAATTTGTGGAGATTTCAATATTGACCTGTTCAATCAAAAGAAACACACAATGACGGATGAATTTCAACACTATGTTTAGTATGAGCTTGTACCAGAAAATTACCAGATCCAGCAGAATCACATCAAACTGTGCCACTCTCAATATATTCACCAATACAGTTAGTGGGCTATTAATACATTTTTGTGTGTGTTGACTTCTCCTCTCTCCCTCTCAGACGTGGTTGACATTGCATTGCATCATGTTTTGTGTTTCTTTTTTTATGTTTGTTTTTGTTTTGTTTTTCTTTCACACATTCGAAATAAAATGATCAAATCAAATCAAATCAAACCCTCCGAGCTGTGATGACTTGATGGTTCTTACTGTTACATGTCTGTGCATGTTTGTTTTGGTCTGATCAGCTGATGGTCTAGTGCGATATCTTGTTGCAGTGACGATCATTAACAGAACCTTTAAAGACTTGTTTTCAAATTAAGATGTTTGACTTGAAAAGACTTAACAGCTGTAAACTACAGTTAGAATTTTGACTAAAAGATATGTTTTCAGAAGCGAAGCGAGACGCGTGACTTACAGACCAAATTCTACAGCTGTAACGGAACGTGACAAAAATCCCAAAATAATTGTGTTTATATTTTTACAGTAAAAATGGAAAATTACCATTCAACAAATATATTGACTCATATCACAACATCCACCAGAATAATCACAGATTTTTTTCATATCCTTTATACATTCCACATAAAGCATCTGGATTAGAGAACAGTGCTGCATGTTGATACACTCTGCAGATGTTTCTAGATGTTCAGACTGTGACTGTGACACTGCATCACAAAACCACAGGAACCAGGTTCATTTAAAATCAGGTGCCGGTTTTCAACTGATGTTAATAACAGAAATAACAGAAACGGAAATAAACACAGGATTTATGCAATTTATGAAGATGTGACTCAATTTATGATTATTGGTTTCATTCCTCTGAAAAGGTCATTAAGTCTTTTACTGTTTCATACTATGACTTTTTTTATAATGAACTATACTATGACATTATTATGACTTTCTATACTTTGACTTTTTAATGATATTTTAATGAAATAATATACTGTGACAATT